TACTCTGTTTCAATGGGATTAAGCCATTAAATGAGAAAACAGGTTTGCAGCTTTCTAAAAATACATTATTTGTTTCTTATAAATACTACCGAGGTCTTTCCTTTTGCTAGAATCTCTAAAGGAATCAAATCTGTGTTTTGCTAGAGTAATGTCACCAGTTAGCCTGTCTGCTAAGTTGGGGGGTGAGAGGGGAGGAATTTTGGTAGTAACTTTGTATCAGGTGCCAATCCTGCAATACAGATTCTGTTGCATTTTTGATGCAGACTTTTCATATACTCAAGCTGGAGTAAAGTTTATGCACTGAAGACTGATGGGTTACATCTGAATTTCAAGCACTGGTAATCAGATAAAGAGAACACAGGAAAAAAACTCTACAGATTCCTTGCAATGTTTATCTGAAATAACTTTTTTTTCCTTCTCAAGTCATCTGATTATAAAAATAACAATTACAAAAACATTCCTTCCAGATAATTTACTTCACAGACAAACTGGCAGCTAAGTGAAGCACATAACATGCCTGTTCTCAAAAGTAATCAGAAACCAGCAGGTCGATAATGGAACATTTAGCAACTATCGCTCTGGGGCCTTGACACATACCAGATGAAATAATTTTATTTGCCTCAGTCATTTGCTGTAGAAGAATTAGTGTCATTGTGATATATCATCAAAGGAATCATTGTCTCCTGCTTTCTGTTCCATAACTGTTTTTCATAAATATTCTGAATTTACATCCTATTCCTAAGTTAATTTGAGACATCGGCAGGTTGAAAGAATGCTCTTCCTCCTTGCAGAGAGTAAAACATGCCATTTTTAATCTTTATTTGGCTTTATATACTTATAATTGTGAAACTTACAATTGGCCATAGATTACGCATAAAAAATTATCCAGCTGTTTTTAAATTTCAGCCCCAGAACTGAAATATTGCTAACAACACTGGAGCTGTTCAGATCAGAGAGCAAAACTATTTGAAATTATCCCTGGTAAACACCTGAACTGCACCTTCAAGGTCAGAAGAGTTTGCTTAAATTCTGTCTGTATTTTTCCTAACCTCTTTGTACTCCAACTTGATAGCTAAACTTTGTTAGGCTCATTTTCAGCGTACTTTGATCATATAAATTTTTTGTACCATGGTTGAGTCACCATACGTTCGTGATCTGATTATTTGTTTGCTTGAGGCTCCTCTCTTTTTGTCCAGAATCTCAACTGTCACTTGAACAGGTCAAATGGATATTTGCTCTGTGCTGCTTATTGTCTAACAATATCCCGACGCAGGTAAAGAAACTTAGTTCTATGCAATCCTTTTTCGCTTGGTTTGCAATAGAGACAGGTTTGCTTTCTAGTTAATTATTTCTAATCTAGCTGGATAACCTCAGAAAGAAAAAGAGTAAAGCCTCCTGAGAGTTCAGTCATTCTTGTCCACCTATCTAGGACTAGCATAAATATTTTACACTGAAGATACGTATTTGCAAATGCTGTGATAAGCTGGTACATAAGGGTTTGTTGAGAGCTGTAAGGCATCCTTCCTCCATCCTCCAAGTGAAAAAGATTCCAGCCTCTGACTAGCAAAGGAATCCTTTCCAAAAGCCAGCAGCTAGCAACACCCACTCTCCAACAGCATGGTTAGCTTGACAGGAGGCACTCAGCAGTACCCCAGCCCTGTAATTGCTCATAGAGCAGAGTCCCTGAGAGTTACTTCTACAGGGCTCCCGTTCAGCTGTACACCAAATACAGTATCCCAGACAGATGAGCTTAACATCAACCTAATGCAATATTCAATGAACTTATAAATAAAACTTAAACATTTATTTTAGCAAGATCTCTTGCCAGGTTGCTATTACAAGATCAAAACCAAAGCAACTTCTTTTCTAAGTTTAAGAGACTTTCTCACATATGGTTCTTAAGTAATGCCCCAGCCACTAAAACAAGGGTTTGAACTTCATAGGAGTATCCTATTCTCTAAATAGTACCCCCAAATCTGGATGACTTCCTTTGGCTTCAGCTTCGGAAGTATTTTTTCTACTTCCTTCTCCCTCTCAATGTCA